TTTCTCCTTTCTTTCCCTTCCCCCTTCCCCCTTTTCTTCCCTTCCCTTCCCTTTCTCTTCCCTTCTTCCTTTCCTTCCCTTTCTTTTCCTTTCTCCTTTCTTTCCCTTCCCCCTTCCCCCTTGTTCCTATTTCTATCTTCTTTCTTACTCACTGTTCTTTACGTTCCTCGTTTCTTTTCTAACATTTGTCATTCTTTGATCTCGTTAAAAATTCTTCAGTCAAAGCTATATTTAAAAAAAAGGCCCTGAACACAAACTAAATCTTGGTAACTAGGTGCCATGAGTAAAAAAGAAAAAGAAAAAGTGAAGAAATTGACACAAATCAACAAGCTACGTTGGAAGAACCCTGATTTTAGATGTAAATCAAAGTCCCTTGAGTGAGAAAAAAAAAAAAGCATTCAAACTGCAATTGTGTACGGTGCACAACCACAACTGGCATGCAATACGGGTTGTTCTGCTCAGCCAAGAGATGCGTAGAGGGGATCATAAGGGGATATTTTAAAAAACTTACACTTCTTCCGTTTTCTTCTCCAATCCATCGCCATTCCCTTTTTACACAAATAAGAGAAACACAGTTATTTCTCGCTCTCTCTGCTGTGGCAAAACAAATCCTCTACCCTTCAATTGTTATTTTGCATGATTATCTCACTATATAAAAGCGAAATGCCCCTCACGCATCATCACAAAATCTCCAGAACCATAAAGGCCACAAACTTGAAATTTGGCATCTATGTTCCTCTTGGCTTCTAGGTGCTCACTAAGAAAGGATTTTTCCAAATGACCATCAGAGTATTTAGAGTATTTCCAATATTATTATTATTATTAACACGCTCTGATGCTAAGGAGTCCTACTCCCCCTCTCCACCTGAAAAGAAATCACTTCCAAAGGCAAAACCCAAGCAGAGGAGTTTCGGTTTTAGTTTCAGAGCACCAAGCAGCTTTAGGACAGAACAGTTGAGCTAAGCCACGCCCGGGCTCCTTGCTGTCTCCTTCTTGCTCACACAGCAAATATTCTTTCAGTTTCCAAACAGCCCTCAACTCTCTCACACACTGACAGGACGCTATCCAGATGAATACCCATGGATGCTGGTAGCCAGAGGCAGAATTCCCCCCCACCCCTATTATTTTCCTCCGCAAAAACTAAGCCCGATCAGAATAGTTTCGTAGTACAGCATGGGGATCCAGCTAGTTTTAGATATAATCGTTGAAATGCACTGAAATTTTCCCGATGCACTTTTAGCATTTTGAACTTAGGATATAAGGTGAGTCCTTGACTTACTTCATTTAGCGACCATTCAGAATTACAGCAGCACTGGAAAAAATGACTTACGGCTGCTTTTCACGCTTACGACTGTGGCAGCATCCCAGGGTCATGTGATCCCCCTTTCTGCGACCTTCTGACAAGCCAAGCCAATGGGAGAGCCAGATTCACTTAATGACTGTGTTAGTAACTGAACAACGGCGGGGATTCACTTAACGGCAGTGTCAAGAAAGGTCGTAAAATGGGACAAAGCTCACGTAACGAATGTCTCGCTGAGCAACATCAACATTGGGCTCAATTGAGGTTGTAAGTCAAGGACTACCTTTTAGCATTTTGTACTTAGGATATATAGCACTACAAGGAGAGGTTTATTAGCTGCTTCTAGAGGCATCTGGGAGGAAGTGGGGTCCAAAACATCAAGAAGGAACTGCTGTCATCTTTCCTGGTTTGCAGTTTGCCCAATAGTGCCGTGACAAGGTAAGCATTTTTAAGGGCTGCCTAGTATGGCGATGCTCAGGAATCAGCCAGGTGAGACATCTTGGTTTAGTGGCTGGACTTACCAAGGTAAGGAGTGTGAGTGGCACCGAAGAAGTAGGTCCTGGAACAAGCCAAGGGCCCCTTGGGAGAGACACACTGCACCACCTATTGTTGGTAAACACAGAATGGACTGGTCATTTAGGGCCTTCACATCAATCCATCTATCCATCATCCATCTAATCTTATCTATCATCTAGCTAATCTATTTTATCCATCTTATCTATCATCCTGTCTCTTTCTCCATCATCCCTCTAATCTGTCATCTATCTATATCATCTTACTTTATCTATCTATCATCTATATCATTTATCTTATTCTATATCTATTTATCTTACAGTATCTGTCATCTATTTATCTATCATCCATCTAATCTATCATATATCAATCATCTATATCAATTATCTATTTATCTATTATCCATCTAATCATATCTATCATCTAGCTAATCTATCTTATCTATTTATCTATTATCCATCTAATCTATCATCTATCTATCAATCATCTATATCAACTATCTATTTATCGATCATCCATCTAATCTTATCTATCATCTAACTAATGTAATTATCTATCATCCATCTATCATCTATCTTATTTTATCTATCATCTAATCTGTCATCCATCTATTATCTATCTTATCTATTATCTCTTTTCTATCTATCTATCTATCTATCTACCTATCTATCTATCTCATTTTCTCTCCATCATCCCTCTAATCTATCATCTATCTAATCTATATTATCTCTTATTTTATCTATCTATCTATCTATCTATCTATCTATCTATCTATCTATCATCTACATCATTTATCTTATTCTATCTATCATCTATCTACAGTATCTATCATCTATTTATCTATCATCCATCTAATCTATTATCTATCAATCATCTATATCAACTATCTATTTATCTATCAACCATCTAATCTTACCTATCAGCTAGCTAATCTATCTTATCTATTTATCTATCATCCATTATCTATCTTATTTCTTATCTCCTATCTATCTATCTATCTATCTATCTCTCTATGAAAATAAATATCATCTATCTATATATATTTTAGTCTACTCTCTTTTTCTTTATCTATCTATATCTATCATCTCTCTCATATCTATCTATCTATCTATCTATCTATCTATCTATCTATCTATCTATCTATCTATCTATCATCTATCTATCTATCTATCTATCTATCTATCTATCTATCTATCTATCTATCTATCTAATCTTCCACATTTATTATTTTTACAAAGAACACAAGGCAGCAAACGGATCTAACACATTTTCCTGCTCCTATTTTCTCCACACCAGAATGACGCCAGTCATTGCCAATGACTTGGCAGCCTGGAGGTGAGTGAACTTCAACTCCCAGAATCCCCCAGGCCACAAAAGGCACAATGCCTTGACCACAGGGCTCTACCGGCAGCTTCTGAAAATCCCAGGCGGGAGGCTTACCGTGTGCTTGGCGATGCCGCCAGCCAGGCCCGTGTTGCGAAGCAGGTGCCCTTCCGAGGGGAAGCTGAAATTGCCCGAATTCAGATTTTCTCTGGATGAGTGAGTGCCAAAGAGCACAAACGGTTGCCTGCTGGGGCTGATCGCACAACAAAAGAGCAAATGACACACTTTCCGTTCTATCGGAAGTCAAAGCGCTAAGAAACGGGTCACGTTCAAAACAGGTAAAGAAAAAGCGATTTAAAAGAGCAGCATCGCAGCAGAATAGAATAGAATAGAATAGAATAGAAATAGAATAGAATAGAATAGAATAGAATAGAATAGAATAGAATAGAATAGAATAGAATTCTTTATTGGCCAAGTGTGGTTGGACACACAAGGAATTTGTCTTGGTGCAAATGCTCTCAGTGTCCATAGAAGAAAAGATTACATTTGTCAAGAGTCAAGAATCATCAGGTCCAATACTTAGTAATAGTCGTAGGGTACAATAAGCCATCAAATCATACTAGGAAACAGTCAATATAAATCATAAGAATACAAGCGACAAAGTTACAGTCATACAGTCACAAGTGGGAAGGGATGGGTGGTAAGGAGAGATGAGAAGATTAACAGTAATAGTAGTGCAGACTTTTGTAAATAGTTGGACAGCGTTGAGGGACTTTGTAAATAGTTGGACTGCGTTGTGTAGCAGAGCGATGGCATTTAGGGAAAACTCCCCTTGTGTCCAGTTGTTCTGGTGTGCAGGGCTCTATAGCGTCATTTTGAGGGTAGGAGTTGAAATAGTTCGTGTCCAGGATGTGAGGGGCCTGTAGATATTTTCACAGCCCTCTTTTGGACTCCTGCAGTATATACAGGTCCTCCATTGAAGGCAGGTGGGTAGTAATTGTTCTTTCTGCAGTCCTAATTCCTCTCTGGAGTCTGTGTCTGTCTTGTTGGGTTGCAGAACCAAACCGGACAGTTCTAGAGGTGCAGATGACAGACTCCATCATTCCTCTGTAGAACTGGATCAGCAGCTTCTTGGGCAGTTTGAGCTTCCTGAATTGGCGCAGAAAGAACCTTCTTTGTTGGGCTTTTTTGACGACGTTTTTGATGTTAGGAGAAATTGGGAGGAGCTGGATATGAACACCTTTTTCCAAGTGGCAATTTTTTAAATTAAAAGTCCCATATTTTCTTGGGTTGCTGCAGTTGTGATATTCAGCCGGTTCGCACCGGTTCACATGAACCGGTAGCAAGGATTTGGTGTAGTTAGTTACCGGTAGTAACTTCTGGCTGGCCACGCCCCCGACCCGGTCTCCCCTTTCCTCCCCGCCCAGTCAGTCCTTATCGCGCATGTGCAACATTGTGGGCATGCCCAATATCACTGACTGCGTTCTCCCCCGCCCAGTCACTCCTTAAGGTATTTTTTTCCCCTCCCAACAATCAGCTGTTCCTAAGATCAGCTGTGCCGGGGTTCCTATCACTGTCTTATTGCTTTGCCCAGGAGGAAGGGAGGAAGGAAGGAAGGAGGAAGAAGGAAGGAGAGGATGATCAGCTGTGCCGGGATCCCCCTCACTGTCTTACTGCTTCACCCAGGAGGAAGGAAGGAAGGAAGGAAGGAAGGAAGGAAGGAAGGAAGGAAGGAAGGAGAGGATGATCAGCTGTGCCGGGAACCCCCTCACTGTCTTACTGCTTCACCCAGGAGGGAGGAAGGAAGGAAGGAAGGAGGAAGGAAGGAAGGAAGGATGGATGGAAGGAAGGAAGAAGAGGATGATCAGCTGTGCCGGGATCTCCCTCACTGTCTTACTGCTTCACCCAGGAGGGAGGAGGAGGAAGGAAGGAGGAGGAAGGAAGGAGAGGATGATCAGCTGTGCCGGGAACCCCCTCACTGTCTTACTGCTTCACCCAGGAGGAAGGAAGGAAGGAGGAATTTGACTTTGCTTATCAGAAGGTCACAAAAGGGGATCCCGTGATCCCGGGACATAGCAACAGTCATAAGTATGAGGCAGTTTGCCAAGCATCTGAATTTTGATCACGTGACCATTGGGAGATGCCGCAATGGTTGTAAGTGTGAGAAACGGTTTAAGTCCCCCTTTTTTCCCGCACTGAGGTTGTAACTTCGGTCACTAAACAAACTGTTGTAAGTCAAAGACTACCTGCGTTGTGAGGTAATTATTCGGAGTGGCAGGAAGCGCATTTTTAACCTAGAGCACCCATATTCGGCAGTTTTTTTTCCTCAAGGAACAGGAATTCTGATTTAAGTACAGAAAAATTCACCTCAGGTTTAATTCCCTCCAAGCCTTCCCATAAAAAGGATTGGCTGCTAAGTGACACAAAGACCCCCCCCCCTTTTTTTCTTTCTTTGCCAGAGACGCCCTGAAAGCTGCAATCAGACAAAATAATAACCATCCATTTCCAAGGTTATATCTGGATTGCAATTCTGAAACTCTTGTCGGCTAGCAAGGCAGAATTTATCGTTGAGTATACACCGTCAGGCTTGGGAAAGATTGCCATAAATCTTACATTTTTACAGTCTTTTTCCTTTGACTATTTGATGGAAGAAGACGAAGAAGAAGAAGAAAAAGGTTTTCGAAGGCTCAAGGTGCAAACTTCACCTCTGAGGTTGTAGCTATTATTATTATTATTGTTGTTGTTGTTGTAATTATTGTTGTTGTTAGAGGACAAAACTAGAAATCATATTTGTGTGTTGATATTGACCTCGGGCGGCAAGGAAGTTATGGAAAGAAAAAAAATACCTGTTATCTGTTATATGGCTTGAAATCAACCCGTGGCTGAAGTAACTTCGGAATGGCTGCAGAGGGAGGGAGAAAACATTGATTATCGTGAAAATAAACAGGGAGGTTAAATGCCATATTTTTCATAAGACGCACCTAGCTTTTGGGGAGGAAGACAAGGGAAAAAAAATATCCGCCTCCCAGCAATTTGCCTCCTTGCAGCAAACAGCAAAACAGAGTCCCCAAAACGGTAGTAACACCAGTTGAACCTCACCTCTGCTTCTGAGGTGGGTAAAAGGGAGACCCAGATTGCTGGGGGGGGGCAAGAGGCTGACTCCAAACCGCTTAGAGAGGGCTGGGAAGCACTGTGAAGGGTATATAAGCTAATTCTACTCTATTCTGCATTCTGCGTTCTATTCTATCCTATTCTATTCTATAGTTCTTATTCTATTCTATTCTATTCTATTCTA